CCCCAACCCCCCCCCCCCCCCCATTATTTTTTTTTAACCACACTTTTTTGCATCATATAAGACTAAAATGGACAAGAACCAATGGGAAGCTAATAAAAAATACCTGTGGGGAAAAAGAACAGATGAAAAAGAACGGAACTGCAATCATGCTGCAAAGTTTAGGAAGCATGTTTGTAATTTAAAAAAAAAAATTACCATTTTAAGTGCTTGGAATGAAATCAGCTGCTTCAGGTGAAACTCGTCCCTTAACACACATTAATCAACTCAGGGAAAAACTACAGGTGAAATTACACGTTACAGGGTTGCTCATCCAAAAGCTTGTTTTCCCCATCACACAGAGGTCTTGATCTTGCTCCTCTGCTCCTACGTCTTCATATTCTTTTTTTCTTCTTTCCTATACCCTGTTGCTGGCTGTGATCTTACCTTTCTCCCATACAGTTGTTCCTCTGAACACCACATAAGCAGAAGCCTGTTAATTTTTTTGGTTTAGGGCAGGTTACTTGCATAAAGCGAAGTGGCTCAGCACAGGTTAGAAGGAGAGCTAGGTGAGGGTGGCAGGGAAGAGGAAGGAAGACTAAACCTGGGGCTGAAGGAAGCTTTTCAGGTGAGACTGAGCCGTTAGATGGACTCCCACCAAAATATGTAACTCCATCCTATCTTGCAAGAAGTGTTTTATAATCCCCTCCTTCAACACACATTTTACCTCCACCTTGAAAACATATCCTTTAAATGCAATACCAAAAACATGCAATGCAATGTCCAGTATACCTGGCTAACTAGTTCTGGTATTCCTAGAGCCCTGTCGATTTCCTCTAAACCATCAAAATTTCTTAATGCCATGTAAAGCTGATCCAGGAGAGCGCCCTCATCACTTGGTGACTCTGATGAAGGATGATTACACAAGAGATCATCTGGTGAGCTGCCAAATGGTTGCCTGTGAAAACATGAACACAGCGTTGGTAAACAGCTGCTGAAAAGCAAGAAATAATATCAGAGGATTAGTACTCAAATTGAACTACCAAGTGGAGACAGAAATTATTTTAATTACTGCCAATTTTGTTTAGAGAACTATTCTGGATCAAAGTTATGCTACTCAAAGAAATAACTAAATAGCATGCTTAATGCCTGTCAAGACCCTACAAGCACGGTGTGTCCAACAAGTAAGCACGCATGCCAAAGGTACGCCCGAGTGCTGATTTCATATTACAGGGTCAACAGAGGAACACAGAAGTCAGTATAGAATATAGTTACTGAACACAGAAGGTTTAGTAATTTTTTTAAACTAATTTTAACTTCAAATTTTAGATGTTAGATTAAGTATACTATCACAAGTAGAAGAAAAACTCATTTCCATAGACACTCTTCTTAACTGGTTTTCTATCAGACTAAGTAAGCTGAAGAGGTCACAGAGGGGTCCGAGGACTGTCTGAGCTTGCACAAACCGAACATCTGGAAGAGCTGGCCAGAAGCATGAGGGAGCAGGGAGAAAAGGACATTCTCCTTTTTGTTTGCAGCAAAACACTGCATCAGCTCAACCCATCTTATGGAATTGCACACTTGGGTACCAGTTTATGCACTTGGTTATGTGCCTCAGAAGGGTGTCAGCAAGAATTTGGATACTGTCAGGCAGAGTATGCTGGCTCTATAAATCCTGCGTACCTCACCCCTGAATTTGTATGCAAAGCACACTCACAGTTACAAAGGCAGAATAAAGGTTTATTCCAAACCCAAAGGACAAAACTGACGAGAAACAAACTAAACCTGAAATAATTCCTTATCTGCAGCCAAATGACATATTCTTGTTTTGCAGTTCACACACGTGCCCTACGTCACACACAATACTACAAGACTACAATAGAAAATATAAAGAGCAAAGCATTCTGCAAGCAAGGGCAGCTACTACATGCACATGATGGCAGAATCTCATCCCAGATAATTATTCAGAGACAACAAAAGCTGTGACACATGGAGGGAGGAAAGAGCGCTATATGTGAACCCATTTTACATGTCTGTTTGGAAAAACAAAGAAACATGTTTGTGTATTTAGTTTCCATAATGAGATATATGGTTGCCATGGAAGTCTAATCTCTATGTCAAAGCTAAGCAGAAGGAAAGAGCTGCACTGTCAGGCTATACACCTAAAAACCCAAAGGATGGCAAGCAGGAAAATTAACAAAAACATATTCTTTTTAATTAGATCCCAGACTGTAAAAAATCAAAATAAGGATATATATGATGTACCTTGAAAACATTGCAAAGTATTAATCAATCTCATGTATAGAGAAGTTTCTATAACTCGCACAGATGGAATTATAAATTGGTAAAAGGGAATAGCAAAAAAAAAACCCCAAAAACCATATTGGAATCAAATTGCTTGCAAACTTTAAAGGTGACTTATAAGAAGGCATCTATGATCTGGAAAAAATCGATGGGGCTAGCCAAAAAACTTCCCTCAAATTGTAAATGAGCATGATTACATATGGTAAGAAAAAGTTTAAACCATTTGTCAAATTCTATATGTTAAACAATGACAATTACTTTAGTTTTTTTCCCCATTTCTTCTATATACCACAATGATAATGTTTAATTTTTCTCTAAAAGAATTATTTTTACTCATGATTTAACTTTCATAAAATTTAATATGATAATAATCAGATTATAAAAATACAAATCCCAGGGATTATTAAAATAAGAAATGGCAGCACCAAACAATTCATCATCTCTGTTTGGGTGTAAATGATCAAAATATGATTACTTTCTGATGCAACGCAATGGGAATTTTTTTCACCATCTTCAGCTACAAGGAAATTATGAGAAATGCAAAGGTAACAAGATGGAAGAATCATCTGCCTGGTTTGCTGACATGGCCCTGTATTTTATTTTACAGTGTCATTTTTTTAGGTGAATAATTAAGTTATGCAAGCAGTGCTTTTGGCATATGGACACCTTAACTGGGGGAGAATTAGCACCAGAAGACATCTTGAAAAGCATGAAGAAGTTAGAAAAGTAACAGAGAAAATGCCGCACTTCAATTTACAGATAATATTTTTGGACTTCCTTTCATAATGAAAATTAAGAGAATGTAATCAGAAGATGAATCTTTCTTCAAACACACTTTTTTCCAACTGCTTCCTCTTAATTTTCTTTTCAGCACTCCTCCCATTTGCTACTGAAAAATGTCCCAACTCATGCAATTCAAAATATTTCAACATTTCTCCTTTATCTGTCCATTTTGTATCACTTATACAGTCCACATGTATATAGTGTCTCTAATTTAAGTGGCAAACTTTTTGGAGAAGACATGCCTTTTTTTAAAGAAGTGTAAATTGCTTTTCATAGTTATGGCATTATTTAAAAGTCTTAATAATGAACAAACTTAATATATTACATATGAGTTAATAACTTGTGATCAAACTGTGGTTCTGGAGACCCGAGAAGGAGCTGACTTCAGGAAAGAGGCAGCCTCTGTTTTACTTCATCTTTCCTTCCTCACCTTTTACAGAATTCAGGTCAATTAAAAAACCGCAAACAAACCAGAAATTAATGATGTCCTGCACTACTTAAACTGCTACCCCGTTGCAGGAAAAGACAGCTATGTTATGACTACAAAGGCTCTGGCATTTTTCCACGTTTAGTGTTAAGTATAATTGTTAACAATAAAACCAGCAAAACCAGACAGAATCATGCCCATATTGAAGCTCGAGAGGTGAAAATGGCGCAACTACCCAAAGCACCGGCAGCATGCACTGCGATACAGAACTTCCAATTCTTCCAACACATTAAATGGCAAAGAGAGCATTTCTAAGTAGTACTAGAACATGTGTACATTGCACGAGTATAAAATACTACAAGCATTAAATTGATATACATTTGGTGAGTATTTTATGCAGGGCTTTGTTTCCATGAGGCGTACAAAATATGGGCCTGTAAAATTTCTCCATGTGTTGATGCGACAGTAGGACTCACCTGTTCTGACTACCAAAAGTTGCCTGTTCTATAGGCAAGATGCTGTCTGGCCATGGTGCAGTCTGATTTGGAGGTGCCTGCTGTTGGCTATACTGAGGTCCTCCTATGTTCATCTCCAATTCAGATGGCCCTAATCAAGGAAAAATGACCACATAACTTTTGCAAAAAGAATCTACTTTTATGTTAATACTTTCCACTGAGTTATCTATGTTACAGTAAAAGCAAACAAAAACATTAGACTTCAGTAACATTACACTTAAAAGGATAATGTTTTTTTGTTAAAATTGCTTTTAAAATTTGAGAAAATAACATGAGAACTCGGAAGTGGTTCAAAACCACAAAACAGCAGATACACCACCATAGATGCAAAAAATTAGTAAGATAAGCATAAAAAAAGACAGCATATAGAGTCAATATAATAATGTACCTGCTTTAAAAGTGACTAAGAACAATGATAATGTTCCTAGCATTTCCTCTGAAAAACCCCCACGGTCTTTAATAAACAAGAGCAACTTCATATCCTCTTTCTCTGGCCACACCACTGTGGAGCTACAGAGTAGCAGGAATTGTTCTTATCACTATATGCATTAAAAGTTCATGCTTTACACGCCTGCCTTCCCACTTCCACTGTGGAACATGGTTCTCATCAGATCTATAATTGAAGTGAGTCTTTTTTTTCTTTTTTGGTTTTTTTCGGCTTCAACTTTGACACCCCAGCGTATGCCAAAAAAGCACAACTCCACACGCGCCCTGACTTACCCATATTCATGACCTGAGATGGAAGCATCTGCCTTGGGCCAGGCTGGTTGCTGGGTCTCAAAGGGATGCTGGCCGTGGGGTTGCGGATCATGCCCGCTTGCACCGGCCTGTTCATGGCACTAGCTGTGGGTGCGCAGGTCACCCTCACAGCAGGAGCCTGGCTTCCCCAATCTCCAGATGTCATGGCAGGGCGAGGGGCATTGCCACCGATCATTCCTGCACAAAAGCCAAAGAGACTTAGGTACCGGCACATGATTCAGAACAGCTTTAGCATTACAACTGCCTGATGAGCTACATTTTTAGCGATAAAAATGCAGTAGTTTTCAAAGCACATTGTACCACAACTGCCTGTCCAGATGTGCAAAGCTACAGAATCATGCCTTATGCTGCTTAGTCAAGGGACTGGAGATTATTATACATTTTACATGAGGAAGATCCTTTTATCATTTCCGAAATGCTGTTCAGAGTAAGTGTTCCCACATGTAGTCCGCAACAGGTGCCGAGGGTGTGTGGATAGCCCTAACTTCCTTCCTCAGGAAATGAATCACGTTTGCTGATGTGTATGTCAGTGCTTTACTTTCCAAGTGCTAAGTGAGAATGAAGATTTGAGTAACAACATGTTATCACTACACACGCTTACAAATTAGGATTAAATTTAAATTCACATTCTGCAAACATCTTTTGGCAAGTCCTTTCATTCAGAACCTAGAGCCTTCTTAGCTTCAAGGCTCACCCAGATAATTTCACACCAATATACAGTGCAGGGAAATTACTCACAGGAACTTTCCGATAGATGCTGAAGTTCATTACCGTTATTTTAGGGGAAGTCCTCCTACATCTACTGTAAACAACTGATACAGTTTATTTACACTTGGAATATATAGAGTACTACACTCTGACAGTAGCCAAAAAAACCCAACCCAACCCCAACACGGAACCCCCCCAAACCCAAAGAGGTGCATTCATAGTATTTATACATTTCAATTTTATACAGTCAAGAGAGCAGATAAAAACACTGATTTCAGATTGGACTACCGGTCTCTCCGGTTGCACTTTGCAACATCCTTAAATGAATACTAAAAGCCACACAAATAATTATTACTCATCTGTTCTATTATTTGGTGATATATAACCAAGGAGAAAAACACTCTGAAGAGGGTCATTGCTTCAGCTGCTGTACAAAACTTGCTTCAGTGTTACATCCTCAGGTTTGTTCTATTTGTGTACACATTCTATCAGCTGAAATATGTGGTGTGCTAGAGCAAATGGCAGGAACACAGATAATACTCTCTAACTTGTATACATAAGACGAATAACATCCTCTAGTATGTATACAGAACATGAAAGTAATAGGACACTTGAAAGACTAAAAGTTGACCTCTGAACTGCTTAAATAGGATATTTCAGTGTCTGGCAGCATGTCTTTTGTAATACTGATGCAAACTAAATATAAAATTTTGACAGTGAATATAGCCAGCTGAAAGGACTTACAATACCCATTTAGTTAGTCAGAGTTCTTAGTGGTTGTTGCACACTTGGACAGTCTCAGACTACGTACTAGTTGAAATAAGTCAATCGGCCAGACTTCTCTTGTGAAACCCCCTGTGGTATCTTTGTACAGTATTAGGGCAACATGAAGAAAACAACGTACCCCAGATTAGGCATAACCCATGACAAGACGCAATACCACTGCAACACCTGATGGTTCCCAAAAAGTTTGTTTCAGAAAATGATATAAACATTAGCATTTCTTTAATTTAAAATGAGAACCAAGGCTAATACATAAAGGATAACCGAGGGCCAAGCCAAGGTCTGCAGAGATACACATCATAAAGGCAACAGTATTGCCCACAATTTTGTTTTGAAAGAACTACCTCTACACAGAAGTGGTTCATTTATTTGCTTTTTTGAGGCAGAAAAATTGGATCTTTACCTATCTAAGCCTCAGCTGAATCTGGAACATTGATGTGAACAGACTTTAACTGCCAATACAATGTGTTCATCTAGAAGTTTTCAGGTAGGTGAAAAGCAGTGCATGAAGAGCAGGACTAAAAATACGCAGAAACAGAAGTTCAAAATACATATGCCAATATATAACAGCCCATGAAACACAATTTTTTCCCAAACTTTTTGGAAAGTCCTTATAATAACCTGTACTTCTAGTAACCTCGACATTACGTTACACATGCAGTATAGTCTGTCTCAAGTATATTTAAAAAACATGGAAAGTCATCTTACCTGTGCTACTGTTGCCTAAAGTTCCTTGACTTCCTATCATCCCTTCATTCCTGCCCATCAGTCCCGGCTGAGGTATCACTGAATAGGGGCTACTCGTTCTTATGGGTGGGAAAGTTCCTGCACCTGTTGGGTTCTGCAGTGTGATGTCAAGTGGTAAATTCTGGTTTGGTAATAACCTGCCCAGTTGCCCTGCTCGTGGGTTATTAAAAGCTAGACAGGAGGAGCAAAGAAAAAAGCAAAGTTACAAGAATGGAAACTTTACTTGTTAAAAAAAAAAAAAAAAACCCAGAACCCAAACACACTTTAAGCTCTTGGGCTGAGCTGTTTAGTGCTGCATAATTTACCCACTCCATATCTGTCTGAGAAACATCCCTTCTTGACATTTTTATGTAAATTTCAAAATGGAACATTCTGACACTAAAACAGATAACGTGCATATTTTTAAAACTTTAAATGATGCAATTTAACTGACAGAAGAGCCACTACAACAAAATATACCACTATGTGATGTGCATACTACTGCCAATTAATCTTATACCTAGTAGAACTGTAATTGCATGCAGATGTCATCCTGAGGCAGATTGTTAGGAATTATCTCGGTTTTGAAAGTTTTCCAGCATAAGCTGTGCCCCTGAAGAAGTTACCAAAATTAAGGACAGATTGAATCTATATCGGATCCTGTAGCCCCATTTCTACAATTTTTTTTTTTTTTACATTTTTTGTCATTAATAAAAATAAATACTTCCATGATTCAGCAACAACAAATAAGCGGTCCAGAATTAGAGATGTGCCAACATAACATTCTGGTAAACAGAACCATGCTTGATGATTACTGTCACCTTTATATAACTGTTTTCTTCTGTTGAGGTGTTTTGTGCTCTTAAAATCAGGCTCTGCAAAGAAAACTGCAGACTGTCTCAGAAAAGTGAGCTTCAAACCTTGACGGGCAAGCATCTGGCTCAGCTGGTGTTTGGGCAATGTTCCAATGCATGAAAACATCCCCTGTGTGCACAACTAGTTCTCAAACATGAATCAAACACTGACCTTGTGCCTCTGATTCCATTTCCAATCATACCAACAAAATACATACAAATAAATTAACCATTTTTGTGAAATTATTATTTGCAATACTTCCTGATAGCTTCCCCTAGGAGAGTCTCTGATATAATGGCATCCTTACAGCAACTTCTGCATTTTTATATTCATCACATTACAAAGAAGTTAAAGAACTTCTTTTTTATTTTAGATCAAAGTAGTGATACTTTTGAATTTGAGAACTTAGATGAGGTTTATTAAGCTTGTTAAAAAGTACAGAAACATTGTATTACAAAGGTCTCTGATTTTTCTTCTTATTTTATAAAACCAGACTACAGGAATTCGTTGTATTTATTTATTTTTTTAATAATGTATGTATAGGAAATACATCACATCACGTACACCTAATTCCTAACCACGAGATCAAGATTTTATCTTGACTGTCTGTTCAAACAAGCAAACAAAACCTACTTATTATGAGACAAAAATGACCTTCCCAAGCTTAGGGGCATCATAAAGTCTATGGATTGAACAAAAACCAAACTTCAGTGACAGTTTCAGAACTGTTTGCCCCAGAAGTTTGAAAAATCACATAGATGAGTAAGTCATTACGTGGGTAGCTTTGCCAGCACCCACTGATCCTACAAAAAGGAAAGCTGGAAATGCAGCACAAACTAACACCACAGTTGATGAGATGTGATGGTGCTCAGATCACATATTCTACTCTTGGTCAGGATGCGACTGAAGGAGGCTCCCTGTCCCCCACGCAACAAATTCTAGCAATTTGGCAAATCTAGCAGCTTTCAAGTCTTATATTTTTTTTTTTAAACAGATTCTTTTCATGTAAAACCTGTAAAATGAAAGCTGGTTATTTCTTCAGAAAAAAAAATTTAAACCCCTGAAACCTATTTTGGAATTGCATAAGATTTGACATTCATTCTACATTGCTTTTCTGTGAGCATATGAGAAGACACTCACTACTTCTGTGCACCTGTTTTCCGTATGCTATTCTACTGAAAACAAGGCAGAAGTTCCCTAGGGGAATCAGGCACAGACACAAGACTGAGCTGGGGGAAAAGGTTTTAGGGTTTTAATTTACATGGGAAACAGGATGCTGCTTTTACAGAACTGCTGCTAACCACCAAGACACTCTCATTTACAATCATACTGTTACTGTACTGCCAGTAGCTTTGAAAGCAGATTTAAAGCCAGGTTAACTCTGGAAAGCCAAAAGGCTACAGTGGAAGGAACCGTCAGACCTTGCTTCAGAAGGAATACGCTAAAGATTTCAGATGTGCAGAGATATCCTTCTGACTTATGCGCTGCTACTGTTAGTAACCCCATACTTACAAAAATGAGTACATTAAATCCAAGCATCTTTCTCTGAGTAACGCTGATAACAAATGATAATTTAAGGATCTGTAGTGATTCTAATATGAATTAAAACTTTTATATTTATTATTAATATTAATATTAATTTAAACATTTTAAGTAATTTGAGTTCATTTGAAAGTGGCACAGTGTTATTTTAATATCATCAAAATGGCTAAAAATATTATCTAAGCTGTATGTTTTATAAAAAAACCACCAGCGTACATTTAAGGAAGTAAATAGATACTGCCATCCCCGCCAACAGGAGAAAAAAATGAAGCAGTGGCTTTTTATGCTATTTTCTTCAACATTCGTAGCCGATGAGACTCCTGTCTTGCTTGCTTTCCATTATTCTATGGTGGTAGACCAACATTTCAACACTGATTTGTAAGTTAATTAATAAAGTTAAGGAACACTGTCAGCTGGAAGGGACTCAATTAAAAGCCACAATTTCAAACTGGCATTCCTCTTAATCATACAGCTTTCTATTAATCTTGTGGTTTTAGAAGACGACTCTCCTTCACGCTTAGAAAAGCCTATCTCGTCCCATTTACTGAAAGGGATGCTGGAAAGGAGTGATGTGCGTCAGAACAAAATGCACGTGCTCTCCATGCCAAAGTCTGCACGACAGCAGCATCACCTCTAACTACAGCAGGGGACGTTTCATTTATTTTGAGGGTACCCCTTAAAACTCCTCAGAGGGCACGGACTTCCAGGGTGCTGAGTGAATTAGACATAACCTTCACGTGTCTTTCGAAATGGGACGACCGCAGATGGCGCTATGTCATCACGCAAGACCAGACCAGGACCAGGAGCTGCCCAGCTCCTCCCCGGCCGGCCCAGGGGCACCACGACCACCACTTTGGGGGCTCGCAAGCTTTGCCTACACGCGCGCAGAAGGCGGACTCACTGCTCTGTGAAATCCTCATTGCTGGTTTCTGGGTGGCCACAGCCGTGCCGGGGCTGCTGTCACTGGTGAGCTGCATGAGGTCATTGATGATGGCTTGCTTGTCGACCGAGCCCGCTGGCGCGCCTGGGCGGCTATCTGGGAAAAGCTGCGGTAACTGGCTGTTCTGCAGGTCATCCAGAATCTCCTCCAAGTTATCCAATTCACTGCCTGGCTGCAATAAAAAAAAAAAAACACAAACCCACAGTACACGTCGCTGCTCGCCTGCTGTTGGCGTCCTGCTCACGCCAAGCCAGGCAGCCCACAACTGTTAACGCCTTGCACCGGCTTCGGATGCTTCCTGCGAGAAGCCTGATGTGGAGGAAGCTCACAAAGCTGTCAAAAAGGCAGGCTAACCAGGGCTCCTCGGCTTTGCGTTTGTGGAGCCTGGTGTGGCACTGGCACCCCTTCAAAACCCCAGCATCGGGACGTACAAACAGCCACATGATCTGCACCTCGGGCAAAGGGGAGATTCTCCCTGTGCACTCTGTGACCGGTGCAGACAGCAGGGATAATTTGGCAGGGGAAGAGATCCAACAGTGATGAAGATGGGGGTTTATGTAGGTATAACCAATATTCCTTTCAGTACAGTCATATTTCTAGTCTCTTTATGACTTGATTAAAAGCATACAATGGAAAAGTTGCTTCATGGCTAAAACAATTCCCCATATGCATATTCTTTGTTACATTCAAAACCTTAACACTGAATAACTCTATATAAGTTAACTGGCAAGCAAAACACATTTCAATGAAGTCCTATAAATGAAAACCTGTCAACTAGTTACTAGATTTAGGAATTTATTTTGCTTACAACTTCCCAAATCAGTGAAAATAACTTCTCTACAATAAGAAAAAAAAGAGAAATCTAATTACATTCAATTCAGTAGAAACTTACCATGAAATAAAGATGGGAAAAAAATTAAGTTCATCCTATACTAACATAAATACTGACCTGTACATTTTTCTTAAAAATGTTGATTTTCACCAGTATTTTTTTTTGGTCTGTCTATAAACCCTCAGAATTAAAATCTTTGGAAATTTGGAAATTATTACAAGTATATTCTCCACTCCTAAACCTTTAAATAGGGTAAAACTTTTTGGGTAATAATTACCAACAGGCAGTCCAGTCTCAGTTACACCAAATTGCACAGGAAACATTTCATGACAGTATTTATAACAAAAACCTACTCAAAATCAGCGCCTTCATTAGGAAATATGCAATGACGGAAGAGAGGCAGAGAGTGAGCAGCCAGCCATGAAGGATGGGGAACCGAGAAATACCACCACAAACATGCACACAACTGAAATACAGTTCTTCCTGTTCTTTTTTGTCCTACCATCGCATTTGCGAACTTGTTGCTTATTGAGAGCAAGCTTACGCCGCAGATCACAGGATAATGTAGAAACAACTGAGATGGCTTTAAACTACCTACTGAGGCACTCTCAGCCTAGCTAGGAAGCACTGCACATTAGTCCGTACTAAACTCCTGCTGCCACAGCTAACCTGCTCCTGGGAAGCCCAGCTATTTTATTCAAAGGTGGATAAGATGCCTCGAGGTTACACCTCTATATACCCTTTTTGGATAACTGGCTGCAGATAAACACGGTATTACTCTTCACTCCTTCCGCATCACCTCCTAATCTTACAGATCAGAATATACGGTGCAAAAGAGGAAAGTGTTTACTCTGTTAAAAGGCATCATGTGGGTGACTTGCAGACTGGTGTTATTGGTAAAATGGTAGGAAATCACAGAATCAGAGGACTGGAAGACATTTAAAGCCTCGAGGCAAAATCAGTGTATGCCATTCCCTACAGAAGTTCATATAGTCTCTTGTTAAAGACATTCAGTGACAGAAAATCCACAGCTTCCCCAGGGAACTGGTTTCAGCACTCTGCTATTCTTACTACTCGCTTTTTTCCCCCAGTGTCAATGCAAAATCTCCCTCACTGAAATTTAGGCCCTTCCTTCCTGCCGTATTTTGAATCTTGAGAACAAATTGCGTTTCCCTTTCTTTTTCTAACCTTTTCTGTATAGAAAGTATGTGCCTTTTTGGGTTTTAAGCTGAAGTTAATAAGCAATCTCCACTTGTTGAATTTTCTTCAGCATATAACCTGTTTTCTAGACCTCTCATTACTCTTGTTGCTCCTGTGGACTGTCTTCAGTTGATCCACACTTTTGCTGAAGTGCTGTGTCCAGAATAGGACTTAAGATGAAGCCTTACAACTGCTGAGTAAAGCAGAAAATTTACTCTACACATAGTACGCTCTGATGGCACGTTCCAGAAAAGCCCGTGATTTTTTTAATTACCTGACATTACTGACTCTCACTCATCTTGTGCTCACTGCAATCCCTAGACACAGCTCTGAAAAAGTCCTATCTAGTCAGTTGTCCCCTCAGTTTTTTAAATTTGTGACATTATTATTGACTAATTATAAGTAGCGTTTGTTCATCCTGAATGTTCTCCTAAGATTTTTCCTCCGTATCTCCTGGTTGCAGCTGGATTTGAATTCTGTCCTCCAGTGTATCTGCAGACATTCAAGTGTCCGCACACGCAGCTTTACCAAGCATACACTCTAGTCTCTCATTGGGTCATTTAGGTTAACTAAAACACTGAGCAGCTCTAGATGCTGCACGAGCTCCTGCAGGACCTCCATTTTGACAGTAAATCCTTAAATAACGACTTTGTGTGTAAGGATTTCCAAACAGCTTCCCACTCACAGCAGTTTCATCTTGACCATGCAACTCTAATCTGCTTACGAGAATGCCACACTTAAGGGTGCCAAAGAGCCTTACTCAAACCAAGACACATGGCATACGCTGCTACTCCTATGCCAAAAAGCCTACTACCCTCTTGCAGAAGGAAAACAGGTTGGTCCGACATTACCTGCTCTTGACAAATCCCCCTGCTGACTCGCTGCCTTCCAGGCACTTACAGGCAGTCGGGTGGACACAACACACCAACAGAAAAGGTAGAGCCAGGAGGAATCAAATGTGATTACAGGAAGCCTAAATCATTGTGCGGACAGGTGATAAGCAAATTCAAAAAGGCGCTCTGAGAGACAGCTGTGAGCGATGTTTATAGCTGCCGCATTTTGAGCACTGGGAGATGTGGTACAAGAAGACTGCAAGAGCCAGTAGAGGAGACTGATATAGAGTATCATAAATTATAGAAGGATGATTCAGTACTCTTTGGGGGAATTAAGACATATGGCCTTCATTAAACATATCTGAGACAACAGTGAAGGGAAGTTTTGTATGTTGCAGGGGGTTTTTTTGTTCGGTTTTGTGCGGGACTTTGTGTCTTTTTTTCTTTTTTTTTTTTTTTTTTTTTTTAA